GTATGGCAGATTTTCTTTTCCGAAGATGGCTGCAAAGTCTTCCATCCCACATGCTCTTCCATAACGTGACCTTGCCACTCTCTCATGTACAGTCTCTCCAACCCTTGAAACTGTGTAGGCCTTGTGACTGCTTTGACAAGCAGACTATGGCAGAAATGATGTTATAATTCTGGGTATAGCTCTTTACTGGTCTAGCAGCTTCAGCTTTCTGCCTCTTAGAAGCCAAACACTATATAAAAACTATGAGCCAACTGAGATCACAAGCCAAATACAAGAAGGGGCCCCAGAGAACGAGACATGAGCACCAAGGCACCAGACATGTGAGTAAAGAATGGGAATGAATCCTCGGCTCTGGCCTCTGCAGCTGATGCCAAGTGACGCAGAGACAAACTCCCAGTTAATCCTTTCCAAAATTCCTGAGCTGTGAAATTGCAGGCAATATAAATGGTCATTTAAGTCACTAAGTTTTAGGGTGGTTTATTATGAAGCAATAAATAGCCAAAACACCATTTAACTAAATTCAGCAATATTATCTCTTTCTAAATTCTGAACGCTCCCGTTTCATGGTCAGTGTTTATGACCTTTTTCTTCATAAATAACTTGTCAAATTTCAATCTTTTCCTTCTTAAAGCTCTGTTTAATTTTCACACCTTCACGCTACCTTGCATTTTCTAGAGAAAGGAAACAACAAAATACGGTTAGACTTACTCATAGCTTGCACTAAGAAGTTTTTTAGTTTCCACGTTCTGATCTCCCAGCTTAACCTGGAATACACTGGCTCCACTTAAAGTTTCACTGGGGATGTTGGCACTGGTTAGATACCAAAAGCACATCAGGATGTTAACAAACTTCCTTCCTTAGAGAAAAAACACACACACACAAATATAAATCATCCTTATATCCAATATTAAATCAGAAAATGGCAGTACTCATAGTTACAGTCATTAAGGATCACATTTTGTGCTTAGTTTAGTCTAACTTAAAATACCTGTATTGAGATCTTTTTACCTTTTAGAAAATTCTCTTCCAGTTTATGACATATTTGCATTCTTACCTGCATTTCAGTAGTAATAGCTACCATTTACTAAGCACCTACTATTTAACATGTGTATTGCATGGATTATTTTCAATTTGTGGGATTTTCTAAAATTATAATAATCTTGTGGCAGATATCTGCTGTCAAACGAAAAATGACGATTCAAAATCCTACATTTTTTGCTGCTAAGTAACTAACTTAATTTCAACTGCCAGAAAGAAAAAAGACTTCTATTCTACCTGAATTCACTTTGCTGTAACTGGTGATTAATTACAACATTATGGTGCTCAGATACAATTTGAAACATTTAGGGGTAAAAAAATATTTATCACTGAAAGTACCTTTATAAATGTTTCAAATTAACATGTGTATGAAAAGTTTTCTAACAATTAAGAGTCCTATATCAGAACTGCTTAGGGAAGTGTGTAAGAAG